CTTCGTGGTGTAATGGTCAGCACACTGAGCTGGTATTTTAGAGATCCGTGGTTCGATTCCCGGCGAAGCCGATTGCTCAATTTTCATCTCTCCTGCTTCAAAATAACCTAATGTCTCTACATGTTTACTAATTATATTTATCTCCTATTTATGTTGCACCAAAAGAGATGTTCAATTTAATTTGTGAATTTTAAATTGTATTCAGACTATTTTGTAATCTACTTATGTCCTACATCATTATTTTTAATAAATACTGGATTTGGAGCGTACGGTGGGATGGCACGATGTACTATAATAGGCGAACTCTAGACCATTTGGAAAGCTTCTGTCTATGTAAATTCTTATAAAACTTGCAATTCCCTCCCTTTTCTTAAGAGTGGGAAGGCATTACCAGTTGACCTATGGTACATCGCTGGTGTCCTCCATACTTTTACCTTTACCTGTTCCATGTCCGCAAGTGGCGGACCTTGAGTCAACACACAAGTTGTTAAATACAATTTTGGTAAAAAGATCTATTTAAAACCTTCATTGGACTTTGCCACATTTACACAAACGGAGCGATAATTCCATTGCAGTTTGATAGGGTCTGAAGGATAGTTTAGTTAATATTACATATTTAGAGCCATATAAGTGTTTAACCAGTTTATATTTACATTTATTTTTAATTTAATAAATGATACATTACTAAATTTACATACACGATAACATGTATTTTAGTTATTAATTTTATTTTCATCCTGTTTAAAACAACTTAAAATAAAAGCTTTTCTTTCCAACTCAGTTTCTTCTCAATATAAAAATGAAGGAAAGCTGTAGAATCATTACATTTATAGAAGATTGAAACATGAAAAATGTGAAATGAGCTTCGGACCATCTGACAGCTAGCCGGACATGCATCCAATTACGTCATGAAAGCACATGGTAATGCAGGAGAAAATGCACTACTATGTTACAAAACGAATTTTGCCAAAGAACATAAAATTTGGAATACCTAATTAAATATTGTTATATTTTAGATAAAAATCACAATATAAATAATCCGAATTATGCATTATAAAATGAATTTAAGTAAATCTGGAAATCTTTTTAAATGGCTTTGCCGCGCAGCATAAAACTTCCCGGAATCTTCCGGTTTTCAATTGACAATTACCATTGACATTGACAATTCAATTGACATTGACATTTAATTGGTTTTTCATATTTCAAGACTGACAGCTATGTATATTTTGCTGCATAAATTGTTTTTCACTTTCTTAAAATGGTTTATTAGTATTGATTTTTACTATCATGCACGATGAAACAAATTTTTATCTTTTTATAATTTCGATATGTTTTAATAAACTCTCTGAAGTTTAATGACCAAAGCGCAAAGTTCTGTTAAAATAAGTGCAATGGTAATAATAGTTCATTCCATCTTCATAACGAAGAACTGCGATTTTAATGTTTAATGCAATTACACAATCCTGATGTAAACTATCCCATATTTAAGATAATTTTCTATTTTCCATGGCACCGTGTTTTGCAAATTACCTGTTCGTTTTAATGGTTGCTCACAGAAAGTAAGCAAATGTCTTATCACGTGCGAAGTACGTTGCACTATTTAAGAAGACATTATATTTGAAAACAAGTATTCCCTACGCATCGGCGCTCCGATTTATAAAGCTATTTTCTCTCCCCAATGGGTAAACGAACGAACGAACGGAACACATACATCTGTTCAGAACAGCACGGACATCGTGAATTGAAAAGTAAAATGTATCAGAAGTCGAATTATTTCGTCCCCTCGCACGGGGTACGAGAGAAAGAGAGAGTGAACATCACAAAAGTTATTACATTCCTGAAGGATATCCTTTTCTGGCAGATACGCCACCCGTAAAAGCATCTTCTTCCAGAACTTATTAATTCAAACTGCCATAACTCCAGTTCAGCCAAATATGAAACCCGGTGTCCTCCTTGTAGTGGGACGGATAAACGCAGGAATTTTGGGGAAAGGCAAGAGGGGTGGGCATACAAATACTTTTAGACCGGGATGACTGATATCTTTTCAAAAGCCAGTCTATCCGTTATTAATAGCGACCAGCGATTGGACGAAAAGTAAATTTTACTCAGGAATGGATGGGTGGTTGCGTAGACAGTCGGAAGAGCTGGATGACGTGGAGGGACGGAGGGTGAGTTTGTTGTTGTCGTTATTATTATTCCCTTCCTTTGCGAAAGTTGCCCATCAGAATGTTATTAATTCCCTTCGAACGGAAATACGGAATCTATGGATAGAAATGCGAACTCTTCTGATGTCTTGAGCAGTACGAGTTGGATGCCTTCAAGTTAAAAGGACACGAAATATTTTTCGATGGCCATCAGTGGTGATATTGAGCGGAAAATATAAGAAATTCCGAAGCATTTCGGTGGCAATAGTTCAGCACTAGGCAACGTTCGCGTGGAATAATTACATCTCTAAAGTATTTGGTTTCGAAGAGGTACGAGGATGGGATAAACAATCGGTGGCCCAATACTTTGAAGAGTTTAACTTTTACGTTGTATTTATAGCCATGAGTTCCTTTCATTAAACAGCAAAGGAATGCTGATATCTTATAATATGAAATTTCTGAGAGCCAAAAATTGAATCCGATCTAAGTATTTATTTATATTTTAAGAGTAAGGTGTTATTAAAAGATAAGAAACAAAGTATGAAACAAACTAGAATAATAATATAAACATTTATACCTAGGACCAGAAGAAAACTATGTTGCTATTCATGGAATTTAATTTACAGTAAACGAAAATATAATATTATGCATAACAGCGAAGGGATTTATTCTATGAAAAGAAATTCAAACTTGCATTCCTTAATTTACACTTTTTAAGCTTTAAAATATTAGTTTTTTATTATTATTTAATAACAAAAACCATCAGTTATAAATTTAATATGAAGACCCCGCTTCCGTTAGCATTTGAACTTTAATTTTTTTCCGTTTTATGTATTTTTCAAATTCTGGAGATATTTTTTTCTAGGAGGAGACACTGATAACCATCTGGAGGTTATAAATTAAAAATTTCTATAATGCATTCTATTCTGATGCAGTCAGATCTTACGTTTTCTGATGCTTCGACAGAGGGAAAAAGTATTCTTTGGAATCAGTTATAAGGTTTCTTTTAATTAGCTTTCTTCTTTATTTCTTATTTTAAAATATTTTCAGCACTTCTACTATTTCTTTCCTTCCTTTACCTGAAAAGGCAAATTAGATGAGCTGTACCCATTGCTAGTGAGTTAGCATTTCACAGGTAGTTAGTTATTCGTGATAGAAAGGCGCAAGTCATGTTCCTTAATTAGCACTATAGCCTTTTTTTTTTAATGTTTTGTTTGTAACTAATCAAACCACCATTACATAATACGGTCACAAGTATTGATAGTTAAATTCATTAATATCTTTAATTGTAACTTCAACTTGAAGTACTAATTAGTATTTTAGATGCTTTTATATGTTCGATAACTTTTATTTGTATTGTAGAAAAGTACTATTAGTATTTGAGATGCTTTTATGTGTTTGATAACTTTTATTTGTATAGTAGAACTCTAAGATGCTTGAAATGTCAGCCGGCAGTTTGTACATCATGTCTGGTATATTATGTTGTTACCTCAAGGCTATTTGTTTCTCCTTCTGTCTTGTTTCGCAACCACGGTAACGACTGATGCGGAAAGCGGTCGTCCTGATCGATGCAATTGTTAGCAACTTCGGAGAAAGCATCCCTGTAAGCATATAGATTTGGAGCTGCATGATGGCACGTAAATAATGACAGGTTAGGAGATCCTCAGATCCGTCCCCCGCGTTGACCTCCATCAAAACGTCGACAGAATTGAACAGTAAGTGCAGTGAGTCTGTACCTGTTGAACTATTGGTTAAGTTTGGTATCCCGTCTAGATCTTCCTGTCCTGTCTTGCAGCAGTTGATTGTCGAGTTTTTCTAATTTGCTATAATCTCCTTCTGTGAGGTGATGAAGATATACATTGCAATCGTAAACGAGGAAAGGATCCTTACGACTTTCATGTACTTATTTTAAAATAATAGATTTATAGTAAAGTAACTCAGCATTTACATTAAATGAAATTAGACGGGAACCGTGTTCTTGTTATTGTTGTAACTAATCTCGCTTGTTTAACATCAGAACAAACCCACAGAATTCACAGTGCCATAATCGCAATCTTGCCTCCTTGATTGCGCCTGTTATTGGCAATAGCCATGGACACCATGCGGGTGACAGTACGACTTCCAGTTTTGAAGGACAAAAACCCCAGGGGGAAGGACAGTTCTGACAGCCTCCTAACCCTCGCCCGTACCACCAATCTCTTGAGATGATTTTCGTTTTGCGTGTCCCCATGATGCACAGACACTTTACATTTACAATATCCATGACTTCACCAAGGTTCGAACTCGGGCTCTTTGGTATGGCAGTCAGAATTACTGCCCCGGCTGTACGGTGAATGTGACCTTATGCAGTGGCACTTTTCTAATTTGTGGTAGAATGCAATTAGTCATTACTTGGATTTGGGAGACTGGGTCCGTCCCCCTTTTCAGCCCCCTTTTTAATGTGGGGGGTGGAATGTAGAGAATTGTGAAATTCATCTGCCTTTCTAGTAGATATATATTCAGCTTGTAATTAGAAGACACAAGACTCAGTTGTTGGGTTATTGGTATAAAGCAAAGGGCAATCTGCATAAGGGAATGGGTGCTTTCGTGGAGAATTCTGTAGGCAGAACTGGCTTGTATTCAAATTACACATAAGAGGAAACACAGAAAACTATCACATCTCCAGCCCTTTCCCTTGGATTCGAACCCAGACGTAATACCAACGTTCAGCAGTCTTAATTATTCGGCCACTGGTAGGGCTTATTTTCTGTGAGTTATAGCGTCACGCTTATGTTCAGTGGCAGTAAATATAATTTATTTCAATTTGCAAAATAAAATTTCTGAAGAAAAAAAAAGAACTTTAAAATGTCGTCTTACCTCCTTAGGACACCTCCCAGGAGCGATGCGTTGAGGCACTCGGGCGGCGACAGCCTCCTCTGTACTTCTCCGACCGTCACTTTGTACTTAGATGTGGAACTGAGGAGGGACAGCCTTCCGGGCACGGAGCAGAACACGTCGGTGGGGGACGTCACGCCTGTGATGACCATTTCCTTATGATTGTCACTGTTCCTCGGTTTGATGCCTGACGAACACCAGACAACAATTGTCACACACAACAACTGTCACTCTGGTTCGCCCACATCACAACACGATTTTACACATTGAAATATATTACATACACCAGCATGTTACGTGAACATAGGATGGCAGTTTCTAAAGGATTTTCATGTTAGTTGAAATCATTTAGAAACACATAATGATTGCTCCATGAAGCATATATCAAATTTTGTGTCTGACTACTCAGTAAGTCAAAATGTATATTAGAATTGAAAGATAATAACCAACTGAATATCTTTTATGTCTAGCAAAGTGTAATCCCGTCGTGTTCCAGTAAGAAATGGGGACAGTTTATCCTACAGCTGTTACAAAACTCATTAACGCAATTTGAAATCTGAATTCTTATTTTTTTGTAACTTTATGTAATGAAATACAGAAATTTTAAACCTTCAGAAATATTTTCTGTGGATAATTATTACTATTTACTGAGCAGTTAAACTCTAAAAGTTTGCAAAATAATTTTCGTCGCGTGGAATCAGTTTTTGAATGATAAAGAAGAATAGATTTAACATTTTTTCATATTATAAATGCCATATATCAGCTCATATTTGTATATTATTTAGAATGAATAATTAGATAACTAACAAAATGTTTAATTTTAACTACCATATCGGGAATCGTGTATATGCAGTAAATCTATTTGCTATTTTCCCTTATTTCTTTTTAGCTACATTAAATAAATGTTTTGCTTAAAAGCATTTTACTACGAAAGCTTCAAATGGTTCTATGAATTTTCGAGGTTTTCAGTATTATTTATCCTAACAGAGATAAGCTACCTTTTAACATTATAAGGTATGCCTCCCGCCTTCTTGGCATGCCTTCACGGTGTGCACGCTGGGCGTGTATTCCATGGTTTAATTCCCGGCGAAGGTGTTACTAATTTTTCCTCTCTTCTGCTTCTAAAAAATCCTAATGTCTCTACAACATAACCCGTCATACATTAATATGCTGAGTTAAATTTCTGAAGAGAGATACTAACTTTTCTGTTGTATGCATTTCATTCGACAATCAAATTACTGTAGTATTTATTCTAAAAATAACGAGAACATAAAATAATCTTTGATACTTCTAATTTTGTTATATATTTAAAATTTCCTTTCTTTATACTTGATAGCATTTAAAAATTTATTTTTTTTGCATATTTTACTTATTAACAATGAGTGTCTTTCCTTTGTTTGACTTCAATTTGTTTGCACTTTATATTTCGTTTCGTGATTGCGTGGAATTTTTTACAGCTACGGAAAATATGAACAGGGTTATTTGCTGTTAGTTCTTATCTCAAATGTTTAAATTAAACACTTTTCGGAATATTTATATTCACGTAACATGTAAGCATGCATAAGCTTATTGCTGTCATGATAGTCTTTGAGCTACACATAATTTTAACTACTGTTTTGAAACTGATCTGAAGTTTATTCCTAACGTTTTTTTTAATATTCTCTCTAAAAATGAGTTATTATAGGAAAGAATATTTACATTCTCAGTTTTCTAAGTTTATTATTTTTTTAACATTTCATTTCTGCTTTTAGATAAAATCAAGATGAAACGTTTTACTCGAGAAAAAATTTTAAAAATTAATAAATGGAATGAAGAAATAGAGAAAATTTCAGACCATTGTTCACATTTACTGTCTAAAGGGAAAAAAAATTTGAGGAACAATTTTTAAAAAATTAATAAGTAGGAAAAAAAGAGGATAAAAAGAAAACAGAAATTTTTCTACCATCGTTTCCGATTTATTGTCTAAAGCAAAAGGTAAATTGATAAATAAATAATAAGAATATATTAAAAATAATAAGATGAAAGAAAAAGTAAAAGTTTTCCACCATCGTTCACATTTATTGCCTAAAGCAGGAAGAAACCCACTTCAGAACAAATTTTAAAAATTAATAAATAAAAAAGAAGAAAAAACAAACAAAACAAAACAAAAAAAAAAAAAAAAAAAGAAAACAAATTAAAAATTTCCTACTATCCTTTATGTTTATTGTTTAAAAGGAAGAAGAAATGTTTTATTTCAGAAAAAGAGAGAGAGATAATATTTTTGAAATCTAGAGACTACTATTAATAAGAACAAAACTACTCTCTGTTTCTAATGAAAAAGTTCCAGTTAGAAAAAAATGTTTTAAAGAATATTTATTAAATAGTTATGAGTTCTATGCGTAAACAAATGATAATAATACCTAACCGGTATCTTAATAACACTAGGACACTAAGCAATATTAGGGTAAGATGGAAGAGGAAAAATAATACTTATTTACTCAAAAAAAAAGGCATTTTTTTGCCGATTATTTACAAATTTCAACATTTAATACTGTAGTAAGAATAACTGCTTTAAATCAGCAATCACCAGAATTAAAGTAACCATCGTAATGATTGTAAATCAGACTTCAATGAATTTCAAAGCAATACTGCAGTATTCTTTGAGTACAATTTTATCGTGACCAAATAATATCCATGTAACTTCTCAGCATTCTCAAGATAAGCCTTAATATTTTTCATAAAAAAATAAATCAAGATGAAATTTAGATGTCTCCAGGATTCATATGTTAGTTTAATAAAGGCTAAATGATTTTTTCAGCACCTCATATTGCATAAAACAAATAGCGAAACATCATGACAGCAATATGCGATAAAATAATTTAAAGTAATCAACAATCAACATCAAGTATCATTAATTACATTCATAACAAGATCTTTCAATTAATAAGCAATACTGAGTATTATTAATAACATTTATAAATTCAGAGCTGAAATTCTTAAATAAAATTTTTAACGATTTACAGATATACGTGTAAATGATGATAATAATATTTTGCGAGATATTTTAACATTAATACTATATTGATCAACTGTAAAATCATTAATATTAAGATTTAATTTTAGATAAATTTCTTGGAACTATCGTTATTTTCATTTTCCAAAATGATATATAATTTTTGAAAGCTAAAGATATTTGAAAGTAGAGATTATTTAATTCATTAAGTAATTTAATTTCAGTTAATTAAACAACAGTTTCAGTCACCCATCTGTATTAATTATAAAATTATTTTAAAAATGAAAAACTAATATTAGCTGATTTACATATAAATTTAAAAAAATATGATAAAATTTATCATAATATTCCTATCGAATTACTCCATTATAACAGTTTGAATTTTAATCTGAAATATATATTTTCATTCAATTCCCTTTCCGGTTAACGCTATACTTTAGCATTAGTTCACTTCACTTATTTGGAATTTATAGTCAGATAGATGTTCAGTAATATGTTTTCAATTTATTTGAATTAAAAGTGCTTTATCAAATTTCAGACATTTAGTTTTAAATGTATTTAAAACTAAATCTGCTATTTAAAGAAATTTTATATTATGCCAAAATAAAATTGGCGATTTTCAATACGATTTTTCAAAATTCAAGTCCAAAATCATTTAATTAACTCATAACTTTCACTCAAATACGAATAAAAAATTAAAAATAAGCAATTAAAGAATGGGTATTTCTTAAGAGAACTCAGAAAAAAATTCGATTTAAATTTTTTTATAAATTTACTTTTTTTCTTTCTTATACTTACCCCTACATTGCGTTTCCCACATTCGGCCATAATTCCATTCGGCAGCTTGTTTGAGAAAAATATCATTCATATATTTTTTGAAATAAAGCGACAATATTGTATTGAAAACTACAGACTTAGCGAACTAAAGATGGCATTATCTTGCAGCTCAAATCATGCAACCAAGAGACATTGCTATTTATTTGCAAAAGATAATATTATGGTAGATGTTTTTAGCAAATTATTTTCATCAAGAATTAATCCCAGAGATTTCTAATTATTAATTTGATCAATAAAATAAAGATTTGAATTTATGAAATAAAAATTAAATTGAAAGAAATGATATTACAGACTGATGTGAGATATTTTTATTTCCATACGCTTGAAATACTTTTGAAATTTCATATATACATTAATATTACTGTATTTATAGCTCATAAAAATACAAAGCTGCTAATATAATGAAGTTTTACCCAAACACAAATACCTAAGCAAAAAATAGCGAAGTCTATATGCATAGGGTGAGTCCCTAACTTTGAATATATCGGAGCTGTCCTTTAGCAAGGCTGAGAAGAATGATGAAATGATAAGTAGAAAGAATTTAAAGGTTCGAAAAGAATAAGTAAGAAGTAGATTAGTATTTTAGTGAATGCAATAAAGCTTTTAGGAAATTTAAATTCACCTTTTAATGAATTACAAAACATAACCTTTCACAAAACAGTAAGCGATTCAGTACAAAAGATTTGTAATTAAATTTGCTTTTTTCCCCAAATTTAATAAGTATTTTTTAATAATTTCCATAACTGTACAAATGAATGCTTAGGACTCTGGTCCCATTTTTAATAAAATCTTTATCTGATCATTTTTGGATTTCTTTTTTAAAAGATTTATGTGATGTATAATTACGGAAGTAATCATGAGCAATTAATCAGTCTGTATATTTATATTTAATTTTCATTAAATTTTCAATACCTCCCCGTTGCTGAATGAATGTTCAATTTATTGTAAATTGTTGCTTATAAGAAAAAAAAATTAACTTGTCACTGATCATTCGAAGTTCAGTAAATTAAATGAAGATAATTATTTCACACATGCGCAAGCCTAATAGAAGACTTTTAGGAGTCTTCATCACCCCATCAAATACAAGAATTGACATTTAAAATTATAAAAGATTACCTGTTGCTAACGTACAATGCGGAATATTTTCATTATGTATGATAATCGAAAAAAAAATTGCTTAACTAGAAAGTATTTATTCTACTTATCATGCATCACAAAGCAATTATATTTTTGTATGCCGTATCAATAAAATAATTACATTTTCTCTGATTCTTAACTAAGATTTTTATATTTTTTGAATTTTTACGTTGTTTAATTTTTAAATCAAAAAAACAAAAACTTTTAAAAATCTGATTTTCAGTTTTTAAATGACAAACAATTAGAATTTGAATTAAGTTTTATCTTTTGTTTGATATTATTCGAAGTATTTCTAAGCGTTTACTTACAGTCATAAAACAGAACAGCTAAATCACAAGCTATATTTATTAAATAAATCTGAACATCTTTAGAATGCGAAATAATTTAGGCTAAATAAGTTTACATAAGTAAATTACTTGATAAACATTAAAGAATTTGATAATTACTTGATAAACATTAAAGAAATATGGCATTTTGTATGTTGAAACTCACGATTCTTTACAGTGTGTTTAAGGTGTTTGAGGGTTTTGTTTCTTGAAATACTGATACCAAATATGCATTTTCAATTAGAAATATATCAAAATAAAGCAGAGAAATTTATTAAAATAATTTCAGCACTCTTAGTAGGCTGGTTAGCAACTTGTGAATTATACCAGTTTACACGGTCACCATATAATAAAACATTTAAGAAAAATATAAGTTATACAAAAACTTTTCATAACTCTCTGCTTAATTTTCGAAGGTATGTGTACGTAATTATTCCATATAGCAATTTAAAATTAATAATGAATGATTTTGAAACCAGTGCCGATTAGTTATTCTCTAAAACGAGATATTATTAGTTTGTATTCATTTGTAGCAATTATTGTTTCCTAAATGTGACCGGAAATATAAATTTCTGCTCGAGGGATTAAAAATGATTGAATCAATAAATTTGTTCTCTATTATCTTAGTAAATTTTTCATTCAAAGCTAAGGAAAGTCTTCTATATAATTTGCTGTTGTAGCTTATCCCTTGAGATTCAGAGGATTTTAGTTCCATGATTACGCCAGACTAAGATAAGTCAGTCTGTCATTGGTCAAGGCCTTAGATCCCTGACTTTTGCTCAGTTCCATTCCTGTTTTGATTGACTCCAACGATTTTAGACCTCACTTTCTATATCACCAACCTCTCTTGCATACTTATTTTAAGTGTCTCCATCTCTCAGAGACATTATATACATTTATAAATGTTTATACCTCTTTCGAGATTCGAATCCGGGACTAACGTGAATGCCCGTACCAGCGGAAGAGTGGTAAGGTCTTTGAACACTGATAGTTCAGTCGGATGTTCGAATCCTGCAAAAGGGTATGGTAATTTTCGTGGCTTTCGCCATCTGTAACGTTTATATGAGGCAGTTTCCCTTAGAAGGTCCTCCACGAAGACGTCCCTCTCCTTAAGCAGATAGCACTCGAGGCTTTGCCGTAATCACATAAACCAAACCTAATCAAACTAATGAGAAGCTTCATTAAATATTATAACATCTAATGAATCACTTTGCTAACTGAATATTTTATATTGTGGAAAACACAGACTTTTCTTTATTTAGAGAGACCTCATACTCACATTTTTAAAACTGACTTCATAAATCTCTTTACCTTCTTTTGAGAAACTTTGTAATTGGAAGTATCAGTCTAAGATCAGAGTTTAATGAAGTAGCGTTTGAGCATTGTATACGAATTTTAAAAGAACTGTCTAAGCATTTGACACAAAAGTTGCGTGAGCCTCCTTCCACGCAAAAAACAGGTGAGTCATCATCAGTTGCATTAATTTGTACGACAAAGTTTGATTTTGGGGCGAAAAAAAGATTATTAAATCCTTTTCTGTCAAAATTGTTTTGTTTAAGTATATTTTTTCATTAACTTCCATTAAGAAAACAATTTAATAATATTTGATATCAAAGTACAATAGTAGCAGATAACGATGAAATATCGATTATGCGTCTTGTGCAAAAGTAAGGCGCAGAATTGGAATGAAGACATAAAGCAGAAAAGTGGAGTTTTAAAACCAAAATGTGTCATTTCGAAACGCTTTTGCTCTAGGGTAAAATTAGAGCGATTTACAAAGTAGGGGAAGTAAAATAAAACAAACCGTCGCCGAGTTTAATTCGTGAGTTTGTAATTCCCTATCGGGTTGTATAACAAACGGGGAAGCACTTCCATTCTTATGTCTATAAATAAAGAATTTTTCCAAAAGTGAACAGGTCGTAAAATTCTTTCCATAAATCACGAGGCTTCGGAAGTGGACTCAAGGGGAAAAGAACACGAATCATGAGTCATTTAGAGAAAAAAGTTTAAAGTATGCTGTGTGTTTGCTGCTTCACTTCGAAATGTGCCATTAAGTCTATAGGGGAAAATCAGGAGGTTTTTCTGAAAACGATTGAGTATTAATATGTTGGTTTCATAAACATATATCATACGAAATCTGAAATGAAATAATTGCACTTATCAAGCAGTAGAAAGATTTTGGAAAGATTGTAACTGCAAAGGTAGTTTAAGGAAGTAGATTTTAAAGGTTAAGCTATTTCTCAATATTTCGTTGAAGTCGGAGTGTCTCCGATATAAGTGATTTTGGTTTTATGTAAATGTAACAAATTTGTTGCTAGACTAGATGACAAGCAAATAATTTTGTATGTTTTGAATAATAATATTAGGACATCGGGAATGTTCAATTGTAAATAAATTAATGGTTTTAAGCAAAAAATTGTTTCATTATAAAATTCATTATTAAATGCATCCAAAAAAAATTAATTCATTATAAAAATGCATCCAAAAAAAAATGGCGTTGATAATGTAATATGCAATGAAATCGCCTTTATATGCTTCTCATTCACATGCTTTTACGTTTATACGTAGTTTCATTTCTATGTCATTTTGTTCTTATTCATGTTAAAAGTAAAACATTTTTTTTGCTATAAATATTAATAATAAAATATTTCCTACATACGCTTAATTTCGAACATACGTTGCTTGCGCTTATAACTCAGGAGGAAAGCAACGTATGACAGGGGGAAAATCAGGAGAAAAGCAACGTTAGGGTGGAGGAAAATTACATAAGATCTATGTTAAATACCCATACAATTCTCTTAAAATTCGTATACAATGTTCAAACACTACGAAGTTTGTTTTTTTAAATACTGTTCTTAGACTGATACTTCAAACTACAAAATTTCTCAAAAGAAGGTAGAGAAGTTTACGAAGTCATGTTACAAAATGTGGGAAGATGGGTTTTGTAAATAAAGTCAAATGTTTCCCGGAAAACAAAAATTAGACTTTATTAAATTTAACGAAGCCACCTTCACTGGTATGGTATGTAGTGGTCCCGGCTACAATGTTGTTAGAACCAGATTCGAATCTTGAAAGAGGTAGATATTAATAAATATATATAACGTCTTTGAAGGATGGAGACACTTAAAACTGGTGTCCAAGAGAGGTTAGTGATATAGAAAGTGAGGTCTAAAATCATTGGATTTTGTCCCTAGAACGCTCTCAGTCAAAACAGGAATGGAATTGACCAAAAGTCATTTTTTCATCTGTAAGGTGTCTAAGGCCTTACCTATAACAGATACCCTCACTTTAGTTTTATACATTCGCGAACTTAAAGTCAGATCCTTTCAATATCAATGGATGAGCTACAACAACAAATTAAGCAGAAGACGTTCCTTACCTCTGAATGAAAATTTTGCTGAGTCATTAGAGAGCAAAGTTATTGATTTAATCATTTTTCAGTGCCTGTTCCGGAACAGAAATTAATATTTTCAATGATATTTAAGAAATAATAAATGCCACAAATGAGTAAAAAATAATATTTTCTCGTTTTAGACATTGTTACAAAATGCACATCTGCGGTAGGACAGCTTCCCCGCAAAACAGGTTTAAGGTTGCCAGAAAGTAACAAAGAAAGGCAGGGTTGCCTGATTTGGCGCGAAATCGCCCATTCGACGATATCTGGCAACAAAATTGGCGATTTGCCATAGGAGGAGCGAGAACATTCTAAAACGAATTGTTACCGGTTTTCCCAAGAATGTTCTCGAAGGCAGGTTAAAATCTATAAATACCCTGCCTGTACACCGAGTAGCAGTTTGTCGTGAAGAATATCTTCAGTATGTTGTGTTCAGTAATAGTGCTTTGAGTTCAGGGATTAGCTTCAGAGTGATCGACAGAGTCGTGAGCTGTACTTTAGTGCTTTATCGTGAAACTATCTTCACCGTTATAGCCTGAAGGCTGTGTTGCTGATTATTTCAGTGTGTTTATCATAGTTTTCGCCGCTTATCGTAGTAAACTTGTCTTTGAAACTCTCCTGTGTAATACTGACGGATAGATTGTGTTTTAATTCTTCGTCAAGTGTTGTCATCAATCCCTCCAAATTCATGAACACAAAGAACGCAGCAATATTAACTGATTGGCATTTATTGCAGAAGCATTCGTTATTAATTTTTTGATGGCCAACTGAAATTGTTAGTTTCACATAGCTTTGCGAATCAGGCAAAAAGTTATGAAAATTCTTTGTAACTAATTTCGACATTAAGAACTAATATCAACATGTATAACTAATACTGACATATCATCGACATTTCTGTTGGCAGCCCAACAGTCTGAACCGCACTGAATATAAGACTTCGGATGGGAACTGCAATTACGTTAACTGCTGTTTAGAGATGAATAGAACTATTATAAAAATAGATTGCCAAAGGTACACAAGTGGAGAAAATTTAGGACCTAAAATAATGTCTGGAAAAAGAAATTGAAAAAATGGCAAGCTTGATTGAATTAACAATTAAAGCTATACATTAATATGACAAGCTTTTACTTATGACATATTTTTTTCTTTTATCGCTGTTGAACAATACTAAATAAAATAACTCTTTTGTGCATTTGAAAGGAGGCCATGAACGTGCAACGTCAGCTAACAGGAAAAATAAATTTAAAAGGGCATTATGTAAATCTATGAAACATAAGCGATTTCCGGACTTGATGTGCTACATATTGCTGCATTACCTACTCATGCTAGTTTGAAAGAAACTTTCAGTAATGAATTATTATCGAAGATATTCAAGAAAGTTTTTTTAATTGACAGGAAAGACATTCTATCAACGCCAATGAAATAATTTTTGGCTCTGAAACGCAAGACTAAACACTTTTTATCATAAAAAGATAATTCTGAGTATTACTTGTGAGCAACTTAAAACAAATTTTTCACTGCCAGTAATATAATGCAAAAAATACATGTTCAATGTTCTCTCATTTCTTGAATTATTATTAATACAATATTGGATGAGACAAACGCGAACTCCACCTTTGTAAATGATAAACATTTTATTTTGGTTAATTTCAATAGAGAGGCAAAAAGCATCTTGTTAGTAACAGAGAGCTACTATGGTTCGTTCCACAATTGATACTAAGTATTATTTTTTATTTTAGAGACAATTATTTAATTTTTATTTTTTTATTTTAGAGACAATTATTTAATTTTTATTTTTTTTATTTTAGAGACAATTATTTAATTTTTATTTTTTTATTTTAGAGACAATTATTTATTTAATTTTTAATCCAAAATTATGCTGAAATTTGTTCTTAGACAATTTTGATGTCTGTTTCCCAGAAATAAAAAGTTTTTTTTGTTTCAGACGTCAGAGCAGAGAAGATAATCGATGCCTGCAACGTAAATGTTTTATATCTGTGTAGATTTAAAAAAGCTAAGTATTATGATAATGTAGAAAATTAATATTAAACTTCTATTAAAATTTCCAACTTCAGCTACGGAAATGGCTTGTACTTCTTAAAAGAATAAACTTTAGTTAGTTGTTAAATACAGGTTAAATGAGTTTAAAGATACCCTAAGAAGAAAAAAATTGCATGCAGAGCTACAGTGAGAACTTAGAAAACGTGGAGAAGAGAAAAACAAGGTCTCAGCTGAAAAACGATTCCCTACGTTCTCTTTGGATAAGAAAGAATAAAAAACGTTAAATGCTTTATTTTCTTCCTTTCGTTATTTCTTTTTTCACCCAGGGTAGGGAAGGTGGACAAAGGGATTTGTTTCTTAAAAAGTTAAAAATGCTTTGATATAACAGATATATTTATTATATACATCTTTTTTAACTATAAGCATTGAAAGCAAAATATTAAGTTCTCACCTTTTCTAATTACACTGTTATGATCACCAGGAAATAAGCTATTTGCGTCTTCGACGCTTCCACCCTGTAGGCAAAGGAGAAAGCAAATATTATTAACTGAAAAATAAAAGCAAAGAGAAAGTTAAATGTTATGTAATAAGAAACGGTATATTTAAAAAACTTAAAAAACCGAAATTTAAAATATAATATTAAAATTAAAAATAAAATATTTCGAAAAAAACCTTCATATAACCTTCCCCCCTTCTAGTTAGTAAACTTCTAGTTAGTAATTAAAACAGTCGTAAATACGTCTAACTGTCAACAGCAAAAAATTATCTTTTTTCTGTTATAGCAATTCTTAATTTGTTCGAGTTAGCAATTCATTTAAAGTTAGGTTTAAGTTACAGTTGAAAGCTAGGACAAAAGAAAACATTACTAACTCAAATATAGAATTTAAAACAAAATGACTTATTATATAAATAAATAACAAAATATTAAAAAAATTACAAAGCTAAATTTAAAATAAAATTTTACGATTAAAAATATTTTATTAGCAATGACTCACATAATATGTTTTTTTTTCTATTTTTGGCTTCTAATAAATAAACTTAAATGTCTGTAAATGGTGTTATGTTGCCATTCAAAAGCAGGTGTACGTGTCACTAGACTCAGACACTTGGGCTACATAGCCCGATCCCGTGTAAAACGACGTTTATGTAACATTGCTTTGATGATGAAGTTGAGAAATATCGAAGCCTAATCCCGTACAATAAATATATAAAATCTCAGAGTCACATGCAAAGCAAAGTGGGGTATATAGAAGTAGGGTAACGTTACGTAAGTGGTACCCCCTAAGAAAAACTAGGTATAAATCGTAGGATCTACCAAAAAAATTGTTTGTGGTAATAACATCCTATGATGTGGTTGCTGATATTTTTTAGAATAAAATTTCATGCTTTCCTCTCTTGGATAAAATAAATAAAATTTACAACACGAACTTAGTACGACTTAAAAAATAGCATTTTTACTCTTACTATCTATAGCTTAAGTCGCACAACGTTAAAAAATTAGAAAATTATAATGAAAACTTCCTTTTACTCAATTAATTTATTTCTACAATTATGCAACAACAATGTGAAATAATAAGGTTGACTATGGGGTAACTCGCTCTGTCGGAAGAGGCGCAGTTGACGTGATATTACGCCTAATATTTAAAAGGTACGACTTAAGCGGTGGTACGACTAACGCAAAGCTACCCTCTCCTGCTTTGCAGATTGTAGAAAATAAAGTCCTTGAGGTGGACAGCATTTCATATGACGCTCATTCATTTCTTAGGGATGTTTCTGCTTACTGTCGATCGGAGGGTAAACTTTCCTTCTAATCCACAAAGGCTGTTTTAGACAGATCACAGCCAGGGATCTGTGAGGCTGATACAGTTATTAATTATCCACTTTCAGTCACAGCAATACTTATTTTTTAATGTAACATTAACAATTTGTTTACAATTAAGTTAAATTTAAAAATGAAAGCAAGGACGCAACCATTTCTACAATAAAAAGCAAATTCCTACATGTATTACTTTGATGTAACATTTACAGTAATATTCAATTCGCCATCGTAAAATTTAAATTATAAGAAATGCTTCGAATCCCCCCCCCAAAAAGAGTTTTATATCGAAAATTTTAAGAAAATCGTTAAAATTATTAAATTACAAAATTATCGTAATGTAAAATGTCATGACAACTTGCTGTAAACGCAAAATAAAAGCAAATTAAATGTAATAAAAATATCATAATATATTTAAATACTATTTTTGATATTAAATGTAATAAATTATCTATGTTATTAGTAGTAGTGGTTGAGGCAAGTAGGGAAAAAGGGACTGAACATTCTTAATCTCTTTTTCTCTGCTCGCCCCACCAGTAGGCGAACGGTTAAGACTATTGAATGGTAGTAGTTCGACATTCGATCTGGTTAGGGTTCGAATGGAAGCAAACAGGCTGGCTGCATGGTTGGTTTTCGAGGTTGCAAAGCAGTTTCTTGCAGAAAGTCTTCCACGAAGGTAGCTCTCCTCTTAGGCATATAGCTCTTGTGGTTTTGCCATATTCAAAGAATCAAAAGCCATTTTCTCCTTCCAAAAAATCTTATTAAATCAAGCAAAATAAGGTATAAAACCTAAAATGATACTAAAAATCAAGAACGATAAGACAGATGCCCAGCTTAAATAAATAGAAAGGACTTTCATAATGTAGTTTCATCTTTCGGAATCGGTAGGATTCCTATTCCTGTGGCAAATTTAGAAACGAAGTCGAGTTTTGCGTTAAATCGAGTCCTCAGATATTCATTAACAGAACTAAGCTATTAGAGAGAGAGAGACTCATTATTTGCACGTAGTTATTCTGCCTTACTGTCCAATATCAAAATAATTAAGCCTCGTCCTCTTTCCCAACAGACGCTTAAAATTCGAAATACAACTGTATATCAGATTGCTTAAACTGATACTTTTTTTTTTTTGGTCACATCGCATAGTTATTCATTAGCAATCAAAACATTCTGCGAAACTATGCTGATCTAGTGTCCTCTTTTGCAATTGGTCCCACTTTTTCCCGCCAACTGAATAAAATAAACACTGGACAATATTTTAGCTTTATCTTTGTCTTTCTCCCTCCTCGTTAAGACTAAATTCTTGTTTGAATTCCTTTTGCAAACCGAAATTGTGCTTAACCAGATTTTCTTCAAAGCAAAATTGAGTAAATCAAACTTACTTAAAGCAGGGAACAGCTGTATAGTTTTTAAATGGCGGAATGTTTTTTTTTTCCTTGATGTCATGTATTGTTTTAGATGCAATATAAACAAACGTTTCATTTCAATTAACATGTCCTAAGAATAATCAAACTAACATAAATCAAATCATTGAAATGTACATAAAAAATGTCGAAGTCACAAAACAGCCGTTTCACTTTTAAGAAAATGCGGAAATGCTGATTCCTAGAATTCTTCATTTAGAACTTAGATTGAATTGTTGACAAGTTATTACCCTCCTCAGGTTGACAGATTCAACTTCTATAAATCATCTTGTCATGAAAGCATTTTAATCTGTTTATAATCAGCCACGCGTAGCCAGGCAAACAATTGGTGCATTGGAAATAATTTTGTGTTACCCATCAAAGTTCAAAACTCGTTCTTTTCTGGAAATTGTTTTGCAAAGCGTAACAGAGGCGTCAACAAGAACACAATTTGCAATGCAAATATTTTCATTTCGAAATCATCCGATTCTAAAATCGCATATTTTATGTTGAATTTTGCTTAGTTATTAAACTTGAAGTTACGTTTTATACATCCCTAAACTGGAAAGGTTTCTATTTAGCGCAGGAGAAGGAAGGAATCATAAGAAGGTGTGGAATGTAAGATGTCCCCATCCCCCAAAGACCCTTATCTCAAACAGGACTGTCCAAAGACCACTGTCAAAACTGCCCAAAAAGACCACTGCCAAAACAGACGAAAATATTCGTCTTTTTGCAACTTCAGATGAAAAAGAAATTTTTCAACAAACGAAATCTAACTTTTAATGCAGTCTGCCGATTCCTATACTTAGATTTGGTAACATTTGACACTCGTTACAAAAAATTAAAAATACAAGTAGTTAGACTCCCATATGACCAAAATTGACCGGGTTAATTTAATTGCAGTTTAAAATTTTATTTTAGCATGTAATTTTCAGTTCAAATGTCGTTTTCGACTTGCCAATAACTTTCAAATTGTTGCCACCAAATATTAGGGCTCTGCGTTATATTAAAAGAAATTACGTAATAAATAATATGCATGAATGTATGTATGTGTCTCGAATTATGAAAAAAAAATGCTACCTAGAGACATCCAATTCTGAATAACATATTCCTCCACTCGAATATCAGCATCAAAAACTCGAAAAGCCCATATTCGAGTCCCAGTTTGAATCCACTCGAAAAGCCAAATTTGCAATCTGGAATTTGTTTTATAAACTATTTCATAGTTTGTAAAACGTTAAAAAATTTTTCATTAATAAATTCAACAATTTTAAGGCCAGCAATGGCAACACTGTACGGGAAAAAAAACATTTTCATCTTCAGCGCGTGACATTGTGTATCGGAAATTCTAAAGATATGCTCCTTTAAATATTTTATGATATTGTTCTTGAATTGAATTTTATGGTTTAAGTGTGAAGAACATGATATTTAATAAATAGAGGTAATGCGCGAAATATTAAAAAACGCTCATTTGGGGGTAATATAAAATCGGAAAGCTTTTTTTTTAGTCACATCTAGGCGTTTAATTCAAATGTAAGAATTCCAATTTTCTAAATCAAGCTATATCAAAATAAAAGGAATGTAAATATTTTTTTTTCAAATATCACTTCTATAAAAAATCAATTGAATCAAAACATAAATCTGTGGTTAGAAAAAGTGCCATATATACGTAAATACACTCTGATGTTCTATTATTACGCTGGCTGTAGGAATATATTCCCAAACTAAAGTTATTGAACCAGATTCAAACATCGCAGATGAAAAATGAGTTATCTGCCACTCCAACTTTCCCAAACCCAACTCAGAATAGCAAAGAAAATATAATTCACGTTATATATATATATATACAGAGAGAGAGCGATAAAAAAATCCCCTCAGAACTGATCGTTAAAAAGCTAGCAATCAAAACAGTTGTTTCGGGAAACAAAAATAAGATGGAAATTGCGAGTACAGAAAATTACTCCGCAAATTGCAAACACATCTGACTTTCAATGCACAACCCTTACACCTAAGAAACTGAACCAAACAAAGAAAATTTCTAGATCACATACTCTTCGCGTACTTGTGTAATATAATGTAATAAATAACACATGGAAACTCTGGGTAAAGCGGGTGAGAAAAGTAAAAGAGTGCACAGTACACCAAAAATAGGTGTGATCGTAACTCATATTAATACACACTGTCATTACGCTATAGATATGAAGGTAAAAAAGAAAACTTTCTTTTATATTTCGAATCAATCAGTTTTTCCTCCGTCAAGTGAAACTTAAAACTTTTTTTCCTTATAGTTCCTCTCTTC